TTCTATAACTTCTGGGACAAGCAATTTCTCATGTAGAAGCTGTGCTTGGAACACTTCTGCAATAAGAGTACAGGAAAACTACAGACACTACATTAACTCTGAATTAACCGTTAATTTAACTCTGTATGATCTTATTTAGAAGGGTGTAAAAAACCTCAAAAGAATGAGATTGTTGGTTTGCTTATTAAATGGTCAGACGAAAGAGCACAAATACTTCGGTTTAACAAGTGCGTATCTAAGTCGCAAGGAAAGTACACTCTATTCCTTTCGCAACTAAGTCTGGAGAATAACAATCTACTCCTACTAATCAATAATTTATGCTCCCAGTTAGTCAGTAAGCAGATGTCCAGCTTATTAATGCCGGAATTTCTGGGTTCTGGCTACAGTAACAACTTGTTAGCAAATCAACTTATTTATCTTTGATATGCATGTTTATTGTTCATGGAAAAATTATGAATGAATAGCACTGTTCTTGTTTCAGATCAGCAAGGCATTCGTCTCCACAATGTCCTTATACAACTCTAAACAGAAATCAAGCTGAACCCCTCACAGCCTTTGTTAATCGTTCTTGACTAAGCATGTTTTGTGTATTTTCTGGCTGATTTGCTGAAATAGGCTGGTTTGAAACGCTGGCATCACAATAATTCACATTAAATTGAAATGTGGAAGTCATGGCTCTAGAGAAAAATGTAGAACAGGACAAAAGCACAAAGAAAACCTTTCAGTCTTGTGCATTTCCTAGCCAATTATCATAACGCTGTGAAAGCGCAATGCAAAAGAGAAACCTCCATCAACTAAAACTCACGCCTTCGAGTGATATTAAAAAAAAAAAATGCAGAACAATGAACAACAGATGGTCAGTTACTGTAAGTAGTAACTCAGGATGAAAGAACTTAATACGCACATGAAAATAACAAATATTTGTCGTATATTTAGTCAAGTATTATAAAGCAATAGTACTTTTGCAACCAGAAAGTGTTATTTTTTTTTAAATGCTTTATTTCCAGAATAAACTCTATAGCTTTACACTTATTTTGAACTTCACTCTGAGAAAGAAGTGCACGTACCTTTACAATGTACGGCGATAGCACCGTCGGCGTTTTCACAGATGTTCAGGAACCTCTGAACTATACTGTCACTTGGTGTGCTTCCATCTATGAAGAACAGGTCATAATGCTCAAAACCAGCATCGGTAAAGCGCTTTGCCTCATAAATTTTTTTGTTCAGTCTTACGATTGAGGTGACATTATGTTTTTTGAAATAGGGAAAATAGGCTTCAGGTGCATGAAGAGGATAACCTATGAAAAAGCAACAATCATTTAATGTCCTAGATGAAGTTCAAAGTCCTACTAATCAAAATTGCCCCCCCAAACCTTTTTTGAATGATAAACATGCTAATATTGAAAACGCTTTAATATTTTATTCAGCATAAACATGTTAAGTGATATGAAAAAAAAATTGTCCACAAAATGCTCATGAAGACCACTGTAATTAAAAAAAGGATCAGAAAACAACATTAAAAAACAGTATATGTGAAACACCGTACTGTCTCCTGGTTAGCCCATTCCCCTCCACAAGTAGGGGTTTATACATAAAGCGAAGCATAATTCAGCTTTTCAGAACAGCTCTTTATCAATAGTCAAGCTGCAGATCAAAGAACACACCAGAAATATTCTTGCTCCACTGCAAAGTAAAAAACCTTTAATGCCTTGATTCAGCTGAGAAACAAAAGGATCCTCCAGATGAAAACTCTTTTCCATTAACAATTAAGTCTTATAAACAAAACACAGGAAGAACATAGCTACCACAAAATTCAGAAAGTGGAAAAAAAAAAAATAAATCAGAAGGTAAACCAAATACACTGGTTTATCGCCGTAATTTTTATTCCTGTTCAAATTAATTTTAAAAGCTTCCTCACAAAATGTGGGTCATCTCCAGAAGTCATATATGCATTAGTAAATGCAATTAGAGTCAGGACATAATGAGAAAAAAATGTAGTTTTGCAACGTGTACTTACACTCACCTGGCTGAGGCTTATTTGTAGCCTCATAACTGGATTTTAAACATTAGTGTTAATTCAGTAATTTTCAGTTACATAAATGTTAAAAATAAAACACAGGTTTTCCAAAATCCATGGAACAAGTAATTTTGGGGAAAAAAAAAAAAATCTACAAGAAGAGACTGCAACAGTGATTGGGGAAGAAACCCAAACCAAACTAAATATTTTCTCCACAAATTTTGTTTAAATTTTCAGTGGACACTATGGATTCCAGTCACAAAGGGAACATGAGAGAGCAGAGTTGGGTTTTTTAAAAAAAAAAAAAAAAAAAAAAAGTAGATATTCAGGAAGCGCATCACAAAGTGACATGGCACAAAGAATAAGGTGAAATTCAGCAAAAATCTGATTGTAGTTTTTAAATGACCAATTTTCCTTCTAGCTGGAGCAAATCTCTACTTTCCCTCTGCAGTCAAGTTTCTTTTCTTTATTCCATTAGAATCTCATAGGTTCTTCCCATTATCCCAAGAATCTTCAGTAGTGAAGGCAAGCTTCTTTTTCAAGTCTTCCCTGGCTTTTGTTACAGAACTCTTAATATAGTCTCTCCTTTGCTTTATGCAACTCCCCTTGAATTCTGTATACCTAGCCTATCAGGCGTCAGGTTCCAGGAGAAAAGCAAGGGACCTGAATTCCTCTGGCACTTTGTCACTGAATGAAAGTCATTGCCTGGTAGAATTGGAATTTTTCTAGCAAAGAAGAATTCCAAAACCTTTGGAATTATGTTTTGTGATCGTATATAACATGTTCACCGTAGGATTATTTCTGAAGATGAAAATTAATCTATAAACCCCTATTATCTTACGCTCATTTTCTGTGATTGCTGGAAAAAAAAAAAAAAACAAACCAGAATAGCATTAAAATATAACACCATACCATTTTCAAGTTTGCTTTTTGGGTAACATGCTGGAAAAAAAAAAACCAACAATAGCATTAAAATTAACACCATACCATTTTCAAGTTTGCTTTTTGGGTGTGGTCCACTAAATGCTAAAAATTTTCCTGGAACAATCCAGTTGAAGTCACCATTTTCCACTCGCTATAAAAATTTCAGAAAAGAAAGAGAAAAGCATTTTAATATCTATAGGTTAAAAAAAGGCTACATCTGAGGTTAAAAAAAAATTACTCAACATTTTACTTTCTACTATGTTCTTGCTGCATTAAACCAAAACACTTCCAATGTAATAAGCTAGCTTACCTACATGGGACAAACTAAAGAACCAAAAGCTGCTTCTCAGAAATCTCTGAATAAAATGAAACAAGAAATTTTGCTGAAGTTTTCCAATAAAAGCGGAAAGATCCAATATCTAAAATGCTTTGCCCTTAGAGGGTTCAACGTTTTAAGACACCTGCTTATAACAGCACTGAAACACCAACATTCTTGTATGTTTTAATCAAAGAATATGGAAAAATGCTTCCCTGTAAGGCACTGGCTAAAAAACCCAATTCATAGAAAACAAATTAAAAACCAATTAGCCTTCAAAACCAATTAGCCTTTCCCTGTAGAAACTGGAATTCACATATTGGCATAAGCTGTGATGAGCCAGTAATCACAGAAGCAAAGAATAAATCAAATAAAAAGACTAAGTTAAAAAAAAAAACCTTTCAAACTGAGGTTTTGCATTTCTTGCTCACTTTTAAATGAAAACTTCAAAAAGGCTCTGCAAATTCTGTCAGTGCCAAAACTGGAAGCTTCTTTGGAAATACATAACTTACGTTCAAAACAGTCTTTTTTTTGTTTTAATTGAAGAGTCCTCATTTCTCATTTGGCAACGCAGTTATTCTCAGCATGACTTTTAAGGACACGGCACTCTGTTCAACTGCGTTATTCAAGCTTGTGTTTTTAGCTCTCAGCTCATCAAAACACTCTAATGAGTGAAAGGTTCTGATAATGGACCTGGCCGTAATCAATTCCCCGCTGGTCTGCTCAGCTAAGCCCATTAGGCTGCTCCAAATGTCCTCACACAGGGAAAACTCCTGGAAGTTCACAAGGTTGCGTAAGGACTAGCGAGATGACCTCGCTGCTGAGTCCAGACCCCTCATAGAATGGTTTAGGTTGGAAAAGCCCTTTAAGATCACCAAGCCCAACCTATTCCCTAACCCTGCCATCCCACCACTAAACCCTGGCCCTAAACAAGTCCCCTCGACCCCCCAAATCTGCACCACAGACAGCAATCTCAGCTTTCTAGCACCTCTACCCCCTTCAAGGAAGAAGTCCTGTTCACTAAGTTAAAAGTATTGTTATATTTGTATTACAGCTTTTATTTGTAAATTAAGTAGTCCTTTATAGTTACACGGGTTATTGTGAATAATTTAAATTTTAACCAATCTGAACTACAGATATCTATGTATATGCATGTGTACATACTGAATACTACACTACATGCAAACATTATTTAAAAAAAAAAGAACTTGCGTATTTTACATCTAGTCCAACAAAAGGGGAATTAGCTGCCTTAATGTAGTAAGATGAAAACTATAAATGTGAAACAGAATTTCCTTTAGCCTGCTCCCTTTAAGTTTTATGCAACTTTTCTCCACATAACTACACATTCGAAGACCTAACATAGCAAAACCTGGAACATTCCAAGTTTTAGAAATACAGCACAGGACATATCTAAACATACAGAGCTGACCACAATGTGTAAGATAATAGAAGACATACCAAAAAATGGACAAAAAACTTAAAGATGATTCCAAGTTCTTGCTTCTTAAACTCGGACAGCGGGCAGCATACTTTAAACATCATTCACACATACACACTTTTCAAAACTAAGGTATGTAAAGCATTAAACAAGATAATGGGATAGCTTTAGTCAATTATTTTAATACTTTTTGCAGGCATATTACTGCCTACTATACATACAGATTCCTAAGAATTTCCAACCATCATTTGTTTTTAGAACATTTTCCTTTGGTACATAGAGAAAGCAAAAAAGCACTAATTTCATACTTTAAATTTTAGTTACTGTTCATATAATTTTGGTATTTCAGCAAAGGCTCTACCAATTTCTCAATCTAATCATTATGGAACAACACAATATACAGAAATCCTTCTACAAATGCTTTTAAGTTGGTGAATATACGTTATAGTGTGCTTATTGAAGCTGACAACTACTGTGTAGGTTTCTGTTGTAAATTAAGCTTTTCCACTGTTTATTCCTCTCCTGATTTCACCCTCTTTCTTGAACGTTTATGAAGCATTTCCTATAGCTGTATGTATTTCAGATATGTCCTGAGTCACCCATCTCTTCCTGCTTGTAAAACAAAATAGTTGTTTATCAAGTGTTAGAGAGATTTAAGGAAAGCAACTATCCCTAAAGCTTATTTGGTATTAGAAACATTCAACTTAAGTTTTAAGGGACATTTTCAAACTAAGCAAGTTATTCTCACTACTTCCAAGTTTTCTGAAAATTGCAAGAGAGGCCGGGGGGGGGAAGAATACTGGCTACAGGAAAGTAACGCAACTCTAAAGAGAGAGTTCGATATACATCTGAATGTTTAGCACACCTCTGGTTTGTAGATCTTTCTCCTTCACCAGTGCAACTGCAGGAACTTCAGGGACCTTCAGGATGAGGTCCGATATGACTACACGGTTGACACTGAGCAGTAAAAACCCTTTCCCTGCCTCGGAACGAGGGAAATGGCAGACAAAGATCACACAGCTCTTCTGGACCAGATGAACGCGAACCTTGTGCCTGCCATTTCCTCTCTACGCAGCCCAGTTTGCAGGCACAGCACGGGCAAACCTTAAAGGTTCTCTGCAGCAATATAGCTCGAGATAACTGCTACTAGCAGACAGAGGTGGCCATGGTATAGAACAATGTCCTAGAAGCATCTAGAGTCATCCAGAGTACCTGTTCTGAAGTTGTAAGAAGGCTGGCAGAACTATGAATGACATCTGTTAGCTTTCTGGGACGTCATTAGGGAAACAGTTTGGATGTATTTTCATTACTGGAATCCCCACAGAAGGCATCCTTACTAAAAAAAGCTCCAAATTTGTTTAATCTATGTGGCTCTAAAAAAATTATCATATATTTGGGACTAACTGCATCTCAAGAAGCAGCTCAACAAGCGTTGAAAGAAAACGGATTCTGTGGGTCAGCTGAGATATCTTGGGTCATATCCTGGGGGAAGGCTGGGAAAGCACGAAAGAGGTCCCAGAAGCCAGAAAGGCTACGAAAAAACAGTAGAATTATTATGCGATGCACTGAAATTGCAAGGATACTCATCCCACATGTTTTTCACATACTACAGGTTTGGATGTACGTACCTTATATATGAACACTGGGTTTTACTTGAATTAAAATGTGTTTCCAGCATGTTTTAAGTTGTGGGCTACTGTATATTCTAACTTATTTTAGGTAAACCAAACACATTCAACTCATTATTAAATGTACAAACCTCATAGTGTTCATATTCATCCACATCAAATGTCTTAAAGTCAAAAAATCCATGCTGCAAGGCCTAAAAGGCAACAAGTGTCAGTTTATTCCGAAATATGATATATGATCTCATCTTAGAATACTGTTTTTGAGAATCAAAACTAAAAACCACTAAACATTTGTGCTTTTGGCTTATTGAAGCCTCCACGGTAAGACAACATTACATTTTGCACAGATTAACACCACAGACAACAAAAACTCCAACAATGTCACTAAAGCACGTCAGGCTCATTATTTCCCCTTCAAAGACATTACAATGGGACATAAGGTTGTTGCATATCACTTAAATCATACAATTGATTCTCCCCACCCTACTATGTATTTTTTTTTCCTGTAAGGCAGATGACAAATTAAAAAGCAATTCCCTTTTTGTCATACACTCATTCAATGATTTCTATGCCAAGTACATTTTCATGCAGTTCGACATAACAGAATATAGAACATTAAGAGTTTATTGATTTTCTATACTTAATATAATGCTCTGATTTTATCACCGTAATACCCAGGCAAAGTGGCATACACAGAATACAATACTGTGTATAATCTCTATTTTAGAATTTGCTTTTAATACACATTCCACTGCTAGAAAGAAGTTCACTAGGCTATGTTAGACTATTTATTTCAGGACTGAAAGAAGTCAGGTTTTGTATTTGATTACTGCACTATTATTAAATATGCCAATTTTGTACCACAGATTTGTGGATAGTACCATATTAAAAACAATTGTATGAATAAGGAATTCATAGTCCAAAATTTCTTCCAAGGAATAGGTGGAAGACAGCCCTGCAGAACATATTTATACTGAATCTACTGCATTCTGAGAAGTAGAGATATTACACAACATTCTGGAATTAAGGTGTGACAAAAACCACACCACAGATCTAAGATTTAAAAGCCAATAATCATCAGTCTGCCATTATTTGCTACATATAGAGCACCTTTTTAAAGGCAAAACAAACCCACCTTTGTTATAGACAACATAGGCTCAATGACTGGACCTGTCACGAAACCTAAGATACTGAGAGGTTTGTCCGAATAGCTGATTTTGAAAAATGTATTTCATTTAAGCATGGCTGGCTGGCTGCCCTTCAGGATTCGTAGGCCCCCTGAGTTGCATGTATAGGATATATAGGCACACAAACACCAAATTTACCCAGGTAGACTAAGATTTTACTTTTGATTAAGGCATATGGTTTCGGCTCAAAGCTTTTTTACCTCTGTAGGTAAAATTCAGTAATAAATTTTATGGGAACAGAGGAGGAAAAACTGATTCTTAAAGCCCTCTTGACGTGTTTGTTGCAGATAAATTACAGTGACTGCGCTGACTGCTTCACAGAGCTTCAGGATCTGTAGAATGCCACACAAATTAGAGTCTTGCTGTTAACTGACAGCTCCTTTCCCACCCCCACAGAACTAAAAATATTAAGCCTGATCTCTCTTTTTTTTCAGTTTGTAAGAAACATTTGTTTTGCCATACTTTCAAGAATTACAAGTAGTCTATAAAGTGTCTGTACAGAACTCTACATGTAGCCTGCTCCCTTCATCGAGATCACTGGGAAATGATGAACAAAATTTAATCCTTGCTTGCAGTAGGATGTATATACTATAATGCAAGGTTGCCAATTAAGACGTGATGCAATGTTTAAAAAGAGGCAGTACTGGAACTTAATATTCCCCAGGACCAGGGCCGTTGAAAGCGACACATTAAAACACCCGTAAGACACACTTGTTTTCATTCTTATTAAACAATTCTGAAAAGATTAGTGTCAAGCACTGAACCAAGTGTTTTGGGGAAAAGTTGGGGCCAAGTACATGCAAAAAGTGCTCAAATTAAATCCCAGTGTACCTAGGTGTCCGTCTCACTTGGCTTTATCAACCTGTTATATCAGTCCTTCTATCAAGGGTTCCAGGTGATCTATTAGCAGATCCAGCAAGCCGCCTTGTGCTGTTGACTGAAGAACTGCCCCAGCCAGGCCTGCTTTGTTTGCACATTCTGATTTGTAAGGTGAAGTTTGGAAACCTTACCTGGAAGGCCAGGCCAGCCAGGTAGAAGCTTCTTCCACCATCACTGCTCAACTACAGCCCTCAGTAACTTACGCTTCATGACAGCATACTGCTCATCCGCACATGTTTTGCTTGGAAACCAGACTTTCTCAAGTGTTTTAACAGTATTCTCCTTCACGTTTTAAAAGTCAATGTAAATCTGTTTTGCTAAGGAGAAGTGTTATTACCTTATTTATTCCCTGTAAACAGTCCAAGATCGTAAGATTGTACGTGCAGTTCCCAAATGAAGCATCCCTATAGAATTAATACAAAAGAACAGACACAGAATTATTTTAAAAACTCGGAGAAAGGCAGCACACAGTATATTCAAGTTATTCAATCCCCTCTGAGAAATCTGAATTAAAGCCCGAAGACCACATCTTTTTAGAAGCTTGTTCATGCTAAAGCACTCCCCTACCAAAAATGTAGCTCAGTGCAAATGCAGTTAGGTACCGCAAACTATTTTGAGTGCTTATTTTACATCATCTAACTACATGCCCTTGAGCAAATTACTTATGCTGTCCTGGAACAGGAAGCTTTGCATCCTCTCAATCGCGTAAGGTTAGTGGCAAATAAAGCAAAACTTTCTTGAACCATTATTCAAGTCTTACTTGAGTTACGCTAACAAGGAAAGGCAAACAGACTGCTAGTTTGGATTTCATTTACAGGCTCCCATTTTGATGCCTGATTACAGATGTGATTAAAAATTATCCAGGTATAATTAAATTTAAAATTACTTGACCGAAGTCCTGCCACTATGAAAACAACAATTTCTCTTTAAAAGATGACAGGATACCCTAAAGCAAAACATATTCAAGTAGTAAGAGACACCAACATAAAAGTAAATAACACCACCAAAAAAATTAACAGCAACAAATGTATTGTGGAAAAAAAGAAAAAATATTTTTCAAAGTCTGCTTCAGACCAGTTTGCATTTTAACAAAATTCTGCCTGGGCAGATTATTTCCTAATCACTCATTAAAGAAATCTTTTATAGTTTTGTTCTAAGCTATCTTATCCAGAATGCTAAGAACTGCAATTTATCCGAATAGTAAAATTTTAGGTTTCAGCCAAATACATCTTTAATTTATAATTGATTCAAAATTGCAATCTTTCCTTGAAAACATCCCTTTTTCAGTAGTCTACTTGCTTTAAGTGGTATGAAATGTTTTATTGATATGCTCCTTCAATCCCAAGTACTTTAAGGGTAGAATATTCTTACCCATTTTTTAAGAGCAGAGCAAGTAGAGCAGTTTTGAGCAGCGTTCACAGAAAATGTATTTTAGAAAATTAAAAGCTACAATTTTGGTTGTGTCATATTACTGGCAGGCTACTTGAGAAAAGCTTTCAACTTACTAGATTATTAAAAAATACTTAGCCACAATGTTTTAGAATGGGAACTTTAAATAGGTGAATAAACTTCCAGTATCCAAATCCAACAAAGTTGTTGATCAAAATGAAAAGCCATTAAGTATTTTCTTTACATTAGATAAGCAGAACATACCAAAATCGTAAAATATAAACTTTACAGACAATACATTTTTGACAGGGGAAGTTATGTAACAGATCGTTTTAGAACAAAAGCATTTTAGCCAACAAAAAAGTCTTCCGAGCAAAAAAAAAATATAAATCCTAAGGCCCCAATGGGAACACATACATAGGAGAAAAATCTTTAAAAGCTGCAACAGTTTTCTGAAGGGGCTGACAGAAACAACAAAACCTAAAACAATGCAAACCACAAAATTAAGTGTTCAGAGAAATACAAATGGAAGGTACAATTGTAGCAAATGTTCTATATTACATGTTATTTTGCTGTAACAAGAATACAATTTTTAATTTATCGTCATGTATATAATTACTTCCTCAACTGATAAGGTATCTGATACTGCAGTACATAAAAACAGTACTGGGAGGAAAAAAAGCCACGTAATCTTTAATCCATGAATAAGCAGCGCTATGAGAGTGAGAGAGAGGGAGGGGGGAGGTTGAACTTGACAGAGATGTTCCGGATAAGCCGACCACAATTCCAGGTGTAGGGTATTCTTAGCTACAGTGCCCACAGCCAGCGATTAGCAGGGGAGTGCAGATGGGTGCTGGCAGCTAACATCTCCTGCCTACGCCACCCGTGCCTCAGTCGCCTCCTCCCTGGCGCCGTGCACCTAGCCGTCACATAGGGGTACTCCGGAGAAAACACCTCTGCTGACACTTGCCATCCACACCCAGTGAAGTGCTACAAAGACTGAAAGCCAGGAAAATGCCAAATAGGCAAAGATTTGGAATGAACAAATAAAAAGCTGTTTAAACCTAATCCAAAATTCTCAGAAACTCAAATAGCAGCAGTATTCTAATTTTTTTTTTTTTTTTTTTTTTAAGAAATGCAATGCACTGAGTTACCATCCGAAATACTCCCCCCCATCTATCATTTGTGGCAGAACGCGATAACGTAATGAAACCATAAACAAACACTAGATATGAATGACAGTACAGCATGGTAGGAAATAACACCTGGAAGCAGCGTGGCTTAATATTACCTAGTGCTTCAAGGGAAAGCATGATGTTTGATGAATCATGGCAAATACTGAGTGTATTATATCAGACCTGGCCAAAAATCTCTCTTTCTCTCCCTGTGCCCCTCAAGTAACTCTGGTAAGAAAACACAAGCAAATCATAAGAGCTCCTTCTATTGTAATTTGGAAGACAAGAAAAATCTATGCACTTTTTTTCCTCCTTAAAGCCACAACCATTTTTTATTTTAGCACTCCCAACTGTTTGCAGGGTAAATCCAGGAATATGTATATTTTTTCTTTTCCAGTTTCCAGAAGTAAAACTGCCCGATTAGAATCAATTTCAGATGCAAACCCCTTTCTGAAACTTTACTGGTTTATGCTGAAGAATTTTAAGCTAAGCTATCTACAGGTACTACATTTTAGGTGCAAGAACAAAGAAATTAATCTGGCAGGAGTTTTATGTATAATCCGTGAGGACTCTGCATGCTGGATCCCTGAAGTACAGGTAAGGCAAGTGCTTGTGGATTCTGTATTAGGGGATGAAACCCAAGTTACCAGTTTGAGAACACACAGCAAGCAACAAAAGGCACTTTACAGAGCTGTTTTAAATATTAAAGCAATATATAAACCTAATTCATTTACGAATGAACGTACTTGTGAAGTGACATTTTTTTATATTCAACCGTCCTACCAAATAGATGATTCCATATCATTCCAGAGAAGTGTTAGTATCCCTTAAGAGTTTAGCCCAAGAGCGTTTTGCAGAATTAGAGGGCAGATGCTCAACGCCAGTCTTCCTGCCAGCTACATGGCTAGAAACGCCTTGAAACATTCGAAAGTCAAAGAGTTCATCACGACCTGATTTTAAATAAATTACTCAAGTAAAATATCCTTTTGCTTGGAGGGAGTTGTCTTAAGTATTTTAAGTCACTAACTATTTTGAATCTTTCTTTGATAAAAGCAAAACAGAGGGAGTTGTCTTAAGTATTTTAAGTCACTATTTTGAATCTTTCTTTGATAAAAGCAAAACCAAAACAGATCTTCCCCCCCCCCCCAGTCACTTCGAGGACTTTCTTCCAAGCAGAGACTGAGTTATCAAGTTCTTTTTCTAGCCCAGAGAAATCAGTCAGAAGTCACACCAAGTAAATAAGCAGCTTTGTAAATATTTAAAAAACAAATTTGATCTTGTTTTCTGAATCCCCCTGAATTAATGCATTTACTGGGGAAAACTAAATAATTACAAACTAATGCAGAACAGCTAGAGCCAGTTCAATTTCACCGCTCTTTCTGTCAACCCATCTTCCTTCCCACTGATGTATAAATTTCCAGACCAGGGATAAAAATATTGGCTACTGTCAGAACTAGTACTAACCTTTACAAAAATCCTGTTAGATTTTTAGATTAGATCCAGCTATCCTCATACCACGTCGACTAGAAGTCACTTACATAGCGCTAGATCCACCAGCATGTGTTTTTTCTTTCTAGCAATGACAGATATATTTCAAAGCTTTAGAGCAATAATTAATTCTACTAACTTCAGCTTGCACAAACCACAACAGATACTGAATGGGACACGCTTTGTACCATGGTAAAACCAAATGCAAGCACTAACAGTTACGAGGAAGAGCACTGCAAAGCAAAAATACATTAACCTTGAAGGAACATATAATTAGAGATGAAGTTAAAATTAATTCTAGACATTCTTCCTATTTAAACTTATTCTTCTCCTTTGTCCACTGTACACAGTCAGCATCCTATCCTACAGAAGACTAATGCTTACGTTTAAGACAGTCGTTTTTAACTTACTGGGACTACTTACGGGTATACAAAAACTTTTAGGTGTCTTTACTGGTGGAAACCAAGCTATTTGGATTTCAAATGTTATACCTCTCTGTTCAACTTGGAAGTCTGTATTTAAAAAAGCATAGAAAAAGGAAGACCCCATTTCATATCAGAGTAACAGAACAGAGCACACACAGACATCTCCTGCACAGTTTTACAGTGTGGGGGCTCTGATTTCTGTTGCTGATTACGTTTCGTTACAGCATTCTTCCACTCTTTCTCCGCCAAACGCACAACCACCTTCTTTTTCAGTGTTTTACCAACTCTTACCTGATCATACTCTTATTTGCATTCAAAATGAGAAAAATGTGAGTATTTCTAGGAGATACAGATGTAGTACGAATCTGAGCCGGCATTACAGAGCTGCAAATCCCACATCCGATTTCAGTTATTGTAGCTGACCTCAATACTGCGTAACGCTTTCCCTTTCGCCAAACCTCCACACACTGGCAAACAGTTTCTTTCCCCAGCACTTGCCAATAAAGAAACAAACCCCAAAAGCTACAAACTAAAATCTAGCTCTGAAATTCATGTCAGAGACTGAACGCAGTAATACTAAAATATATTTGCTTTTTCTCTTTAATATAAAGTCAATACAGAGTAGTTTGAGGTAAAAAACTAAAATTTAGTTTCACAATAGGCAACGGGTGTTTGTGATGATGTAAAATGGTGTTAGTACTGTTTTCTTAAATGGAAGTGAGAAGATGCAGTACAAGATCTTCAAGAGACTACAGCGTCACCAAGTGACAGTGAATCAGCCAAAAATAAGATGAAAGTGTCTCACAGACAGTGGTGCCTTAATCCTCCTGCTTTGTCTTTAGTTTTTCTATTATAAAAACAAAACGAAAAAAATCTCCATGTGTCTTGTAAGAGGGTTATTCTGATTTCCTTCCACCCCTGAACAATATTTGCTGAAGCTGTCTTTAAATGAAATACCAGCCGAAGATCTAAGCCGATTAAGGCTTTTTGAGGTCACTGAGCTAGATGAAAGTAGATCAGTTTCCCAGTGATCACTCCATGTAAACATACCTCAGTGCTCCACAAAGAACCCAACAATCCCGCAGCTTCGACCTGTAGAAAGTTGTCTATTTTTTTTCCAAATAGAAGACACTTCAGATAACAAATTAACAAACTTAAAGAGTTTAACCGTAACACTTAACTGATCGTTGCTCACTGGTAAGCTCTTGCACTTGAAACTATTCAAATGGAGACGGCCTGTACTACAGAAGTTACATAATATCTAAGTTGCAGGCTCCAAGAATAAATTCAAGACATTAAGTACTGAACACCAATGATTAATCTCTCAAATTATTTCCTTCCTAGACCTTAGAATAGGAGGGAAGGGGTAAGGCATTTGGGTTATGTTTTTCATTGTACGTAAGAGTCATTTTAGTTCTTTTCAAGGCACTAAAGATGTAGCAGGAGTGCAAACTTTTGGCATAGTACCAACTTGTTTCTTCACAGTAGAGCTCGACGCCAGGCAGATATCCTACCTGAGGCAGTGCTACTGCATCCAGCACAGGTCCATTTGCTTGAGCCTCTGTATCTTGCTATATTTTGCACCAGAGATGTCTGAAACGTCTTAGAATGGACAGGGGGAGGCAATAATCTCAAAGGCCTTGGAAAACCAGGGAAGGAGGAATAAATTATTTCTTCCCTGTTCCCAGCTAGTCTAGATTGTCCCACCTCAGGACCTCATCAGATCTACTTGCCCTTCTCTCAGCCCCAGTAATACTTAAGCTAATCTTTATGTACCTATTCCAGCCTCTTCCTATGAATTCAACTCTCAAATACCCCCTCCCTAACTATCAGACTCCCCATTTCTTACCTAGCCTCCTATCTTGTCAGAGTCCCTCAGTTTACTTCCTCACTCCTCTTTGTCTCGCCTCCCGTACGGCGAGCTTGTACCGCCTTCCTTCCCAGCAGGACAAACTACACCGCAGGTAACAGCATCGGCTTAGGCTGTAATCCAGTGCCAAGACCTGACATAGTCTGAAGAAGCTTCAAAAGAAACCGAAGTGCTTTCCAGCCCCACGACACATAAGAACGCACGCTCAGGAAATCAAGATGTTCTAGCAAAAGGTCGTGACACAATATTCCTTCTAGAAACAGCAAGGCTCTGCTCAAGAAGATTGCTTCCCTCCCACCTTCTAAAATAGCCAAAGCTTTGCATTTCAAAAAAATTAAAACCAAAAAACCCAACCACACCACAAAAAAAAACCACCACAAAAAAAGCACAACCTCCCAAAAAAAGCTTTAGTTTTAGCCAATTATTTATGTTCCAGCAACCCAGCACTTGCAGCACACAGACCAAGACTGCAGAGGAGTTACATTTCAGAGGTCTGCCTACTCCATACATTAATTGCCCTTGTCTCCTGAAGCTGACAAATGGAATGAAGCAATTATACTCTTGTAATTGTTCTGGCAACCCAGGCTGCAAAAACTGAGCAGTCCCTTTGCTGGGCATTGCCTTCTTCAATGTTTGCAGTTTGACTTCTCTCCTCTGGGAAACATGAAATGCTCTTTGTGTAATAAAATAAAGCTATCTTGAGAAAATCTTGCTGATTCTTGTATTTTTTGACCCCTCCCTTTGCTGATCCCAGAGTAGCTAACTATTCTATTTTGGAACAGAATTTTATGCATTCAAACTCATGAGGATTTGCTTGGAGTAGTTATTTAACAATTAAAATGAAAATCGTTCCGTATCAATAACCGTTAGAGTGATTCTTAGCAGCCTCACAAGAAATCACAGAGCCAGTTACTTTCACTACTTCCTACCAGTCCAGCAAAGTACCAGTTTTTAATATTACTATTTACTATCATCATCAACACTATTATAAGGAATTGGTTGCAAGGCAAAGGTCTGTAGCCTTTGGTTTGAACAAACAGGGTCATGTGAGACTGTTCTGCAACCGCGCTGGTCCTCCCAGGTTTTCCATCCTACTATTTTGGGAACTGACAACTAAGGTACTTTGCTTTGTCAGAACCTCTTTTCCACACACCTTAATCTTTACTTCGGTGGGGAAAAATGAACCTAAAGACATAGCAACTTACTGTAATTCCAAACAGCAAATTTTTTTAATTGGTGAAGATACGGCTATTCTCAGGTAACGTACATCCTCTTCTGCTAAGAGAGTTTTGCTTTTCAAGCAAGCCTCAAAAACTAAGCTTAAAATTCTGAAAAATTTAAGTCACTTTAGTATTAAAAGCTCTTATATGAAAGAAATACTCCTGCCAAAGTTGAACCACTGAGAATTTGATATGAAAGGGAAAATAAGTCTTTTTTAGACTCCACTAAAATGCTACATAGTAATCCCCAGAAGGAAGGGAAATATTGCAGGGCAATATTTCACTTCTTGCTTCCTCAAAACTATAAGGAGACAGAAGAATGTATTGACACCATTTCTGTACTCAGAATAATAGAGTTTGCCTCAAAGAACTTCTTGTAGCATTTTTCCAATAGCTGAACCTTCTGTAAATGCAAAGGATCAATGTAATTGTTTCAAACCAGGAGAAGATCAGGAACCAGAGAATCTAAAAAGATGGAGAAAACTATACATTATTCTTTGTTTAACTTAGATCATCACTCCTGTATTTTCTGTAGAATTTGGAGATGTTAAAAATCACTGACATGTTTAAAATAACTGATTTTTTTACGCATTGTACCAAGCATCTTTTATAATTAGCTGAAAAAAAATGTTATCAACAGCGCAGTAAACTCCTTGGGCTTTGGAGAGCTGCTGATGACCAGATGAATGTATAAACTCTCTGCCAATTAAAAAAAAAAAAAAGTGTTTGATGGTTTAAGGTTTCAAAGTCAAACTGGTCTTCACATATAAATCTACCATCCCAATAGTTTATACTGTATCTGGCTCCTGTATGAGCGATGAGAAGAGAGACCATCTGATCTCCCTTTGCTGAGTGGCTGTAGAGTCAGATGAATTTGATACAGAGAAGGTAGGTCTGCATTTACAAATGCATCGGCTGACAGTGAGCACTACTTGTAAAACACTGACTCCCCTAAAAAAAAAAAAGAGGACATTTACCTTCCTCTAGTTGCCTTTTACTGCCAGTGTTTGCATAAGAATAGTGTGACTTATTTTTATTCATGAAGTACAAGGGCATTTTGTGGTCCACACTATAAAAAAAAAATCTGGAAGTCTCATTTTTTAGATAGGCATGATAGCTAAAACTCCTCAAATTCAAGTCTCGGTATGACCTTAGTACAGAGAATAAAGACAGATTGATAGAAATTATCTATGATTCACTGAAAACAGAAAAGGCAAAGCAATTTAATAACTGGAACATCAGTACTTGTTCTGTAAAATAGCGAAAGTATATCAGCATAAAACTCCCTCCATTCATGTAAGTCTAGCTCGTTAGGTACTAGGTAATTCAACAGACTTGAATGATTTTGAAACATGATGCATCATAAAGAAAAGCTTTAATTGCTAAATCACAAACATACCGAGAACTGTTTTCTGCACTTGACAGTTTGCAAGACTGGGAGTGTTACTGAAAACTTAAATCAATTGAAACGGCTTTATTATTCCAACACAGAGCAAGTAATTCTACCAGAAGTAAAAAAATATTTTTTCTGGAGATCAGACATTTTGATACAACATCTGTATCAGCCATGAAACCCTCTTCTGGGAAGGCAATCTGAAAAATTTCTATTTAGCAAAGTCCAAAAGACAAATGTTAGGCCCATTTCTCATGTTCACATACCTAAATGGAAGATATGGTGGATTAGATCCAGACAAAAGTGTTCTGTAAGCTTCTTCTGGTGTTTTCTTCAAGTATATTACCTAAAGGGGGTGGGGGGAGAGGAAAAAAAAATAAGCCCCGAGCCTGAAAAGTCATTAACCACATGTACGCTTCCCCCACCCCACTAAACTCTTAAGAATGTATACTATACTGCTTTATGACCATCTCCTATGGCATTTATAGGTCAGAAAAGACATACCTACATAAGGTAAAAGGACTCAGAAATCAATAGAAACTGGGACTTCTGTTTTGTGTCATTCCCCCCCTTTAAAACAAATAAATACAGATATTGCTGCAACTGGGAGACTTCAAGACAGACTCAACATTGTATGAAGATGAAAAACAGGCATCTATGCTAGGAGTTCTCTGTCCAACTTGAGATTTGGAGTCAAAATATTATCACAGCAGTTGATATACGAAACATTTCTCCACCACAGCTCAATGGAAGATTTTCCAACACAAATATTTTTTGATTCCTAATGATCAATATCAAACTACTAATTAAGAAAAATATCCAATTCAACAAGCTGAACCTGTTACTAGGAGACCAACATATAGTTAATGTAACACCCTAAGCCAAGGCTCCTTCCGCTATCGCTGAACGCCATCAGCTCAGCTTACTTAAGTAAGAAACGAGAACACAACCGCATCTTGTTGCATTTCAATTCCTATTTGTACAGTAAAACCAGTCCCAAAATAAATTTAACTTGGAATACATAGTAAGCAAGTGCATTATTTACAAAAAAATATTTCATCCAGTTTGGAATGGCACATTCCATGTGCGCAAACACGTTTTGTAAACAAAGCCACACAATTTTCCGAGCCATTTGCACCCAACTCACCTTCCAACCAGCACCTACATGGCTACTTTTTAGCTGTATGCACATTTAACTGTTGAAGTATTCTAATAAATTATTTTCTTAACCAAGACATAGGCTAATTCCTGACCTAACAGCTTTATTCAACTTTTAACTTCAAACACATTAGAATATAGCTAAGCGGTGGTCACGCCCAGAATACCTGCAATTTGCTTTATGTCTAGAGTCGTATCTCAAGTTAATGGGATTCTTAGTATTGTGTAAGATGACAACATGGTAGGTAGATTTTCTTGCATTTCTCCCTCAAGCATGGAGAAGGCAGACAGAAAAAGACAAGGATAAAACAAAAAAAAAAAAAAAGCAAAACAGTCCAAAAAGCTGTTTGTCGTGACGCAATGAAAAGAGGGCCCACATTCATCTTTTTCAACTACCAATTATTTCACTGCTTTGAAAACTACTCTAATTTTGGACCAAAACCCTCTACACAAACTGATTTGCCTTCAAAAGATCAATTCCCTGACACGGAGCTGTATTTCAGTCTCAGCCCCCAGTGCTGCTGCTCTGCTCATCACGGTCACACCGACAGCATGGAGCAGTCAGTACCCAAAAGAGGAACGAAGCCCACTCATCTTCAAATGCTGAAGCTCAATACTGTGGCAGTGTCAATATTGCCCTCTCATTTAGCAAGTGCCCAAACAACACGTTTCTCAAAATTATTGTCCCTGTATCTGTGTGAACTTCCATATTGTCCCCCACCCTTAACCTCTGAAAGCAAAGGTTTCCCAAAACAGAACACAATTTCTATATTTAAAAAACCATTCCATTTATTCTGTGTTATCAGAACAATTTTCTAACTCAATTATTGGACTCTCTGATGTTGGGGCCAAACCAGTAATTACTAACATTGAAACCAATTCAGAGAATTACTTAATGTGTGTGTATATATATATATATTTACTTAATTCAAAAAGTGGAAGGGCCATTTCTTTTTTGTTTTTAAGCTGTAATGGTCTGTCTACAGCAATGATTGCCAACCAATGGCATCAAGTCCATGCTTTCAACCCCTGCAGCACAGCGATGCTACTCTGCTTTCACAGTTATTTGTAAAACATTCTGTTGGTCTGTGAAAGAAGTCTCCTTTATATTTCTCTTGTTCTTTTATATTTCCCCCTCACCATAAAGGTTTTGCATTTAAGAACAAAGCATCCTCTGCAACAGATTTCGGTGGGGTTATCTTTTAGAGAAAAATACTGATTTTATTCATGTCAATTGATGTCCATAATCTTGTCAATTAGCTTACGTTTAAAGCCTGAATTCCTGCTTATAGTCAAAAGACCCTTAGAGGGTAGTTCAGAGGACTTTGGGAAAAGAGGAGTTTCCATCTTACACAGCAAGGAGTCAGAAATCCAAAGTACAGGCAAATTTGTACTATATGAGTGTTTTCCCAATGCTGCAGTTTTTATTTCACAGAAGTTACAGTACTTCAAAGCTGCCTCTGCTCAAAGACATGTATACATGACATTCTGAACCAAACACTTCTATAGTTGTTTGTCCACAAAGCTCATAATAAAGATATCAGGATGGAAACAGGGAAAAGATATTAAGAACACAAAAAAAAAAAGGGGGAAAGAAACACTGAACGGAGCTCCTGAAAACCCAAGAGTATTGCAGATGTCAAGAATAGTGCGTAGCTGAAGGAAGAAGGGTAATGAAATGGAGAAGGAAACGCTACAGTACATGTCTTTCATACTTTAAAAGTAGTGATATCCATTAAGAAAAACCCAGGAGACAGTCTTCTGACTCATCTTTATCAATGAAAAAAAATCTTTATCAATGAAAACTCTGCAACTGAAACTTAGCTTCATTTTTTTAATCTAATATGAGGAATTTTCAGAGTGCTTTCATACCATAACATATACAAAAAAAACCCACACAAAGAGCCTGTAGTAAATAGTTTGTATAAATTGAACCTATACCTAAGAAATAATGCTAGCAAAAACCTTTTTTTTTTTTTTTAAAAAAAAAGGTCACTTTCTAGATAGTAACTATTCTCTTATAAGAGTTGTTTTACAAGGGACAAGGTTCTTCTCCCTTTCCCCACTGTCACTATTCTAACTCATAACATGTGGCACCACCACCTGTAAAAAACAGACTCAGCAAATACTGAAAGTTTTCACTTTTTTTTTCTTCTGACATTTCCATTCTTATGTTCTCGACTTCCTGAATAATGACATGGTTGGAAGATAAAGCTCCCCACAGTTGGGATGCTATGCAGGCACATGACATATGGCAAGGCTGGCCACATCGCACTGCCAAAAAAATTCATACTGCATGTCCTAAAAAGTTTACAGAACAAAAAGGGAATTAGTATTTTGCAAGTCCACCTGAACACCCATCCACAATATTTCAAATACAATTTGGATCCATCGTGTTCCCGCCCGCACCTACCATTTTTGAATTAGAAGTATACAGAACAGATCCACTCCAGAGCTGCTAAGTTATCACGGGAATTCTCCGAAGCCAACCTAAGGCAATCTGAAGAAAGGTGTTGCTTGAAACAGCAAAGAGGCTGTACACGCTGCAGTAACTGAAAAGCCTTTGGACTTGCTGACCCTCCAAGGGAGGGATTGCAGATTTGAGCAGTAGTGTGATATGCTTAGATTACAAGTGAACAAGCCCTTAAAACTTCAGGTAGGGCCGAGAAGTCTCATTTATTTTTTTTAAATTGGAGAAAAACACTCCTGCAAGCAAATGACAGAACATGCCGTAGCGATTTGCTACTCAAACTCGCCCAGTCATTTGCTGTGATAAAATTACGAATTTAAGAACTCAACAGCTCTTCTCTCTTACTGGCGTTACAGAAGTCTAATAAAAGCTATTACTACTAAAATACACACTTAAAGTAATTGTGAGAAAGAAATAGGACCAGCCCATCTGCTATCTATAAGGAAAAGGAAGAAGAGCTCACTGGATCTCTTTTCAGAGTTTGCCACAGTATGAAAACATTACGTTTCACCAGGACTGCTCAAAAGTCAGATTTTTGGACCACTACTCAAGTTCTGATCTTTGAAGAATTGCAAGAGATAACTACTACTTGTCTGCTGCAAGGGTCGAGTTAAAGCTCCAGGTTTCCCAGGAGGAGCAAGTGTATTCCATGTATGTTCTCTCTTTCCCCCTGCCCCATTTCTCTGGAAGTACAAGAGCAGCCACTGGTACAAAGAGACGAGCATTCCTCCTGCTCTTCTCCCCAGGGAATTCATACCTCACAAGATAGCACAGCACACAACCAGGTAGGGGGGTTCCTTGGTTTCCGACCAGAAAAGAAACATAACAAATACCTGAACAATATGGAAAGAGGGACCCAGCCCCCAATTCACCCCTACATTATTAGACAGGAGAAAATGCACTCTCCTTCATGGTTTCTCCAAGAATGAATTCTGTGATGACAAGTGGGGAGATCCTGCAATCACTTCAGCATAATTCAGTTAAACCTACTCCCTCTCACCCCTCTTTCCCCTAGAAACTGCTAGGGACAAATTGAGTCAAACCAGGCTACTTCAGTTTTGGTACGCATGAAAGTACTTGTAGTAGTACTATTTTTAAAGACTTTTTTTTTAAATTAACTATTGCGGAAGACTACATAAACCCTCCCTAACAACTAAAGTAAGTCTCCGAACAGATTAAGGGAAAAGCAAAGCAATACCAGTTTCAAAATATTCTCTGCGGCACCTGGTAAGACTGCAAAACCTAGTAGCATGTGGTGAGTAGTAGACGTCACCGAACAGTTTATGTTGTAGCCTTGGCCATTTAGGAGGAACCCTAAACTTCTCTGTAAGAGCAGAGAAATCCCTATGTTCTTCTGCTCTTTTAAGATCTTCATTTTTTTTTCTTCTTAATCTGACTTTTACAACAGAAGCAATCTTTGCAGAATTCTTAAGAGCAAGGACAAAAATTTAGCAACTGGACATGATCAGCCCAAATGTACTGAAAGTCCACTGTAAAAACTGAAATTTAGCAAATGCATCTTCCTGAGATGCAATGCACAAACAGGCAAGCTATTGCCAATAAAGTTTTAAGACTTAACTTCCACTTAAACTTATGACTCTCCTATTAAAGTATTTTAATTGCTATATGGCATTTTGGTTCAACATGTCTAAGAAGCTGTTTAATGGAACAATCCAACTTGCATAATCACCACTGGAAACCCATTCCTAGAACCTGATCCACTGTTTTCCACGTTTCATTTTACACTTAATATTTTAACACCAGGACAAACAAACCAAGCTTTCTCAATTAACTTTCACTCCTTGGTAGAGTTCATAGCCATAACACTTTCTGGTCTCAAAAAGCTTGTAAAATCGAAGACAAGACACAAAACCTAGAAGGCCTTAAATCAAAGAGCACACCTATTTCTGCCACAATTTGGATATTCAGATTGTAATAGATCAAGTTGCCAGTTACACACAGTTCTTTTACTGAAGCATATGATTAGATTCCTTCAGGTCAGGAACCACCCTATCACGTAACCGAAGAGCGTACATCTACTGCATTTGACCAAACATAGCATTTACAGGTAACACACTCAAAAAATGCAAATATTATTTCTGGAGTGTGAAATGAATAAACCTGGATTATAAAAGCTAAGCTTCTGCAGTTAAAAAAACAAAAAATCAGGTTATTAGGTAGATCATAAATAACTTTTTAGAATAAATAAATATTCATTTTATTGCTGATCAACCCTCCGCTTGGATTTCTGTCTTGCACCTTATGCACCTCCTTACCTTTCTGTTCCTACAGCCTGGCTTTTCAAGAAGTTATCTTCATGGAGAGCAGCGCTCCCTCCTATGAGTCTACCTCATACTAGTAAGGGCCTTTTCACTCCTCGTCCCCAGAGAACAGCTACATAGCTGAGGCAGTCACGTAACAAGGACTGGGCAAGGGGAATAAAAAGATAATCTCATCCCCCTCAAAAAGTGTCCTACCCTTTCCACAGCTTCCGAGATGTATCGGAAGGTGAAGACAGGATCAGACAAGGGCAATCCAGTAAAGGCAATTGGATGCCGTAATCTACATATGTGCTAGATGAGTGTTCTCTAGCTGTAGGCTTAATTAGACCAGCTTTAAAACGTGAAGTGAATCTTTCTAAATACAGAACTGGAGATATAATGATGCAAACAGAAACCAAAAAGCAGTCCAAATGGAACAACTGAAGTTTCTTTACAAACTGTACTGTGGGAATCATTACTGAAGATGCTACAATTCAGACAGATTTTGGATATGAAGGGACAATAAAACTTACAAAGATATACTATCAAAGTTGGAGGCTCCTTAAACAGAATATAAACCACAGAATTAGAAATTAATTCCAGCATTATTAAATATAGCCTTGTACGGTCAAGAACATTAACAAACTTAGAACATCCTAAGTCATTTGTCCTTACTATTCCTTTTGCAGAATTGCTCCATCAGGTCTAGCCCCAAAGGTTAAAAAGCTAACCCAAAGATTTTTAAAATTTGAACTCATCCCCAATTTTTTTTTTTCCATCTTTAAATTTAAATAGATCTTCTCTCTCAAGAACATTTACACACTACCCCCATACTTGTAGTAAAACATTTCTTTCAATATGATCATCTGCATTTACTGAACTTTGCTTTCAGCATGCCCTCAGGCCTGGAAGAAATACACCAGCTTTCACATGGTATAAAGCCTGACTTAGCAGAGACTGCCAGAACTCAGCTGACCACGTGGATATCAGCCCAGGACCCGCAGCTCATTAGCTTCAACACCTCATCAGCATAAAACAAGCTATCGCAAAGACTCTTGGAGTTTTCTGCAAGTGTGCTCCCACTCCGGACAGCAGAGGAGGAAGGTGAAATTGAAGTTTGAGCTACACTGCCATGAAGACACACAAGTGGCTCTGCGAGCGTTGGTTTGGGACTATCAAAACATACACGATACTGTAATAAATGAGGCTCGCGTAACTAAGATGGCCCTACGTATTGCATGTTACCTGTAATATTAGAAGGCCGAAATACCTCATTTATTCCATTATTCTGAGTAGGCTATGAAAATTCACCAAGAAAAGAAATCCATCCAATAATACCTATGCCTCTGGTCTGGTAACTTTAAGAAAGGTTGTGAGAAAAAGCTTTCTCCTCCCCAGTATGAAGCTCACTACTGCCATGAGCAGCAATTCATCCTAAGACAGCCAGGTTTAGAGGTAAGTTTGTGGTTTGCATTTTTGACATTCAAGAAAATGATAACCTATGGGAAACGTGCACATGATCTGCCAAAGCCACTCGCTGCGTAGTAAAGTAAATGGAGTTAAATGCCAAAGGCAGGGCTTCCCTAGAACTCATAGAATCCTAGGATGTTTTGGGTTGGAAGAGACCCCTAAAGGTCATCTAGTCCAACCCCCAACCCCTCATACAGCAGAGTTTTCGAAGACAGCTTAGAGAAAAATCAAATAACCATCTGCCTACCTCCCCCAAAGGGACCATCCCTTGAGATGCTATTTTACACATAGCAGATGTCTCTTAAGGAAGGTTAGAAGTATCCGTGTGATAAGCAGTACTTACAGCATATGCGCCTATTAAGAACGCCGCGTTTGCTCGTTTCCGCTGGTCAAAACTGGTATAGTACACTATCTTCTTTCTTGATAGACTGAAATACTGTTAAAAAAGACCAGACAGACAGCATATTTACTGAGAGAAAAAATACTCTTAAAAAAGTCATTTTTCCAAAACTGAAAAGTAAGCCAGAAAAAATTCTTATAGAGAGACTCGTAAAGGAGAAAAAGTTACTGATACCATGAACAATCTTCTTGCATTATAGATAAAAGTGCAGGGAAACAGCCACTGTATCAGGGCAGATCTTAGTTTGCTGTGCAAAAATATCCTACAAAATGCAGTTGAACCAAAATGTTCAATATAAAATACTGGTTTTTTTTTCCCCCCAAGTTGAAATATTTGAACAATAGCTTATGAACATTGATTAAAGGAAAATTTCAGACTAAACCACCCTCCTATATGTTAAATCCCTTTAGCATATAATTCTGTGAAGACAAGAGAAAAAATGAAGCAATCAATCTTACAGGCATTTTATAAGTTAAACACCACTCTTCAATCTATGCTACCTAAAAACGGGGTGACAGACATCTTTAGAAACCTTCAACAGCAAGAATTTATTAAAAAAAAAAAAAAGATTGCACAAGTGAAAAGCCTGAAAAAAAGGCTAGGCAGAGACAAAACTAGTAACACTTGCAATTCTTCTTTCTTTAGGAAGAAAAGAAGCCTTGTCAGAATCCTGTGGACAAAACTCCCATTGAAAACAAGACCAACAAGCACCAGAAAGGAACAATAATGACAAACTGCAGCAAAACTATTTAAAGCCAGAGAGAGATAAAACTGTCGCTTAAAAATGGCAAGCTGGACAGTTTGTTGCATTATTATTTTTTTTTAGCTTCATTAATTGCTACACTTCCGTTATATTCTGCAACACTAATGTTTCTCCCCGACAGATTTCTACAGTACTACTACAGTTCTGAGGAAGTCATCAGACGTACTGGATTCTGCTTCTAAATACTTGAAGCACGTTTCTCTTAAAAAGCTGCACATTTTTATAAACTGCTGTTATACCAGTGCTGCTGCTACCCAGCTTCAGGTTTTTAACTCCAATTTGACAATTCTAATTTACGTTCTTTTCCTGCTCTTGGCACTGATGACATTTGGGGGTGGGAGATAGGTAACCGCTGCAGAATTGTGTTTTATTAATTTAAGTAGCACCAACTGTATCTCACTTCCAGAAATCTGTAAACATCGACTCTTGCCTTAAATCCTGTTGCAAATTTCAGGACAGCTTTAACTGCAGAATCGAATTGTGCTAAAAAACCAAATAGGAGAAAACCAATGGATGTATCACAGCCAGCTTCTTACTCCCTCCCCGCGCCGAAATAGCACCGTTAGTAGCAGTTCCAACTGTACTTTCCAGTCTGGTCTTATTGCCCACACCTTCCATAGGTGGAAGGACTGAGGGTTAATGCAGCTGAATCCTAAACAGGACTGTAACTCCCCGAGACAGCCGGTTGCTGTGGATGGGAAGAGGCTGTATCTCGAGACCAACAGCAACATCTCCCTCGCTGTATATGCAAACATACAAAGCACAAGTAGTTATTTAATTAGCGAAGCATTCAATTATTATTAAAACTTGACAAAATTAATCCCAGTATTTTAAGATCCCTCCTTTCTTCTCCCTCCTCAATTTTTTAATTTTAGTGTTCTCTAACTGCAATTCCACCCATGATGTGTGGGTGGGATAAGATTACAGTAGTTACGCAACAGTGACAGAACTTCAATTATAACTTGTTGACTGCTACTCATTTGAAAGCGAAGTTCTTCGCAACGTTTTGCAGTTCACCTGAAACGCTATTTTAAACTGCAAAAAGCAGATTCTGCTACCTAGCCAGAAGTTCTAAGACCACCATGTTTCTTGTTTTATTTTACAGAATAGATTTTTTTTTTTTAATCATATGGGTATGTCATTCCAATTTTGAGATGCTTTTGTACCTGAAGTAGCCCAAAAGTGTCAGCTCACCTTAAAAGTTCCCAGAACGTTCACATGAAAGCATTATCTCATTTTCATTGCTTCATGTTCAAAATGTAAGGGTTTAATCCCTATGAGCCATATTGCTATATGAAATACCTAAGGTATTTTTGAATCCTGACTAAAGCTTTAGCACAAAATTGAAAACCGACTTTAACCAATGGCTTATAGCACAGCAACTGCATCAAGATTTAACTTCTCAGAAGCCTATAAAACAAACCGCCGCTTTTATTTGCACACGAGCTACAGAAAATCAAGTTTGACCATAAGCGTTTGCTGCAGTGTCAATGCAATGCCTCTGTTAACATCGTGACACAAATTCTCGGTACACTTTCAATATCAATATTAAGCTGTATGATCCATTTAAAAGAAATACTGATTTGCTGACCACGTTTAATAAGCTAAGTCTATTCCTTTGGCTAGGTTCAGTGATGATGAGTGTTAGACAGTTCCGTAAGGTGACTGTTTTTTATAGGTCCAGAGCTCCACCTGAATGAATCAGGGCTTTAGTTCCCTTAGATGCTGCGCAACTCGGAAGAACCAAAAATGTTTCAACAAGGAATTTTTCAATACAGGTTGTCTACAGAACAGCTGTAATTAGAGATAACATAGTTGCAAATAATCTTTTTTCCAAAACAAAACTAATACATGCACTATGAAGCACTAAAGATATTTTCCTTTACCAGTAAGGAAATTCTAGCAGTTTCACATAATATTATAAGACAAAAAGTAACAATATAACAGAGCAGCATCTGCCAAGATATATATTCCAGAGGAATATACTCACCCAAGACAATCTTTTGAACTAAAAGCAGAGGTTACAGGAAAAGTGTGGCAGGTTTTGCTTTAGGTAATAAAACTAATTGATTTGGTGTATGAGAGCGTTCCACAACATGTTATTTTCACTGCAAGATTATTACTTTTTTTTTTTAATAATAGATCAGTTCTTGTTTCTTGAAGGCCTTGAGAGAGATTTACTTGCACAGGAATTGATGACAGGCTTAGAAGTTGTGGACAATTACTTGACTGACACCTGTTTAGGATCACCAGATTATTTGACAGTACTTTAATGGACATGGTTTAATAGACTTGCATTATTCAGGCAAGAAATTACTGCAAGACATTTAATAAGCCTGGATTGATACAAATACTATTTTTACATATACACACACATGTCATGTATATGTAATATGTACACATAACTAGCAGTGAATACAAGGCTGGCAAACTGTTCATAGAAAGTGATGTATTAAAACATGTACGTGCAGCCTGCCCCAAAATCTAAGCTGTCCCAAAGGAGATGCTTGCAATTACTATAGTTCCATGTGTATGCCCAGCAGTTTATTTATATTAAACCAAAAACAAACCAAACCCCTCTGCGATTTCACTTAGCATACAAGAAATGTTAACCCTGTAGTTCAAAAGCCTGCCAGAACCTTCACTCTCCTGCCTGGGATCTTCCATCATTTATCTCAGCAAGACCCCCTTCTCTGATCACCCCTGCTTCTGAATATTGAGACTGTGCAAGGCTATACACACATAAAGCAGGTGTTTTTAAAGGCTATACACAAATAAAAGCAGTTTTTTAAAGCAGCTTTTGTGAAATCAGACTTATTTAAACAGAAGAGGAAAATATTTGTTTCATAAATGAATCACAGTTGCTTAGTCAAGCGGTTTTCCTCCGAACAGAATTCAAAGAACAAGTAGGAAGACAACACAGCCAAGCATTTTTTTCCTTGCTGTTGGCTTGGCTAGTCAAGATCATCTCCATAGCAATCAGCAATCAAAACATTACAAACATAACAAGGTCAGAAAGGTTTTCCTGCAAAGCATAACCAGGACTTCATCTCCAACTTTCTCAGCAAATGAATATCTGAATAAATTTTTCAGCTCTTCAGAACTATTTGCCATTTTCAAAATCAGCCAGCATAAAGTTACAATAGTTTACTTCAAAACACTGGTCTGCCATTAGCACATTTCAGACTGGTATGATTCTCCTTTTCCTTCCCTGCCTGTCCCCCAGGAAAGGAGAAAAAAATGCCTCCATGTCTAATTCCTCTCCCAAAACAGAAATAGATATAGCTGAAAGGCTTGGAGGGGAGGGAAGTTTGTGGGGTTTGTTTGTTCTAATGAGATCTTATACTCTCACTTCTCTTGTTTCTATTCATAGAAGTTTTAAACTTAGTAAAAGCCTAAGTCTTAAATTCCTTTTGAGACACAATATCCACACAACTACCATATTTTGTGAGTAACTTCTTTTGTGCCACTCTTAAAGACTCTTTTCGCCACTAAAGCACCCAAAGTGCATACCCAACCAGGTATATACCAGATCATGGCAGGAACCATCTGGGCTTAAGGCTGTGATTGCCTCAGGATCTCAGAAGCGTTGCAGCGTGGCGAGAGCAACCACCCTGCTGCAGAGGCTGGAGTTCCGGAGAACGATCATCTGCAGCGCCTTTTACTTGCTAAGATCAGCCAACCCCTGCTGTTGGTCACGGGGCATGGTTACCCTTAACGCAAGGGTATGCAAGCAGCAGGTTGCCCAACAGGACTCTTTCTCCATGCTGTTAGTCCAGCTGGCACTTCTCATCTCCGAAACACTGATCACAGACTGCCTGCGTGTCCCCTTGGTGCCACCCGAGAATTACCATACTCCTGCTGCTGCAGTTGCTCATTGCACCAATGCCTCGCTGGCAGGTAAGTCACAGGCCATGAACTTCTGTCTTAGACACACTAGTTCAGGCCTCAGGAACCCTCTCGGGGACATTCGTGAAGGACAGACATGAGAAGCTGAGGGGGAGAAGAGTAGAAACCATGAATCCATAATTCTCAACTTGTGAAGCTGAGCAGTAGTCTATGGTTGCTAGGCCTACAGTACACATCAGATGCATGCTTCAGCGCTGGGATTTGGTCTTACAAGCCTGCTCACCCACTGCAGATAGTATCTAAATTAGGACAGAGCCTGGCATATATTTTAACTACTAGAAGAGCAAAGCTTACATTAGCAGGTACTGGCCTACCTTAGGGTAGTGCCAATCAGCCACACTGGGATCTAGTCATGTGCAAGTTTCTATAGCACCCTGGTGGTATTCCAAACTTTAGCTGTTTGATTTCAGGTATTACTTTCAAGTGGTTGTGCTATCAGGTTACCCTTCTCTATTATGCACCAGCAGTTTCAACTAACCTATTTGGAATTAGCCTCTGGTAAGGTAGCAGCAACCACCAGCACCTCCTCCGAGCTGATCTGCATGAGACTTCTCTGTCCTGCTCCTGACCTCTCATACTCTTCACCTAGCACTGCGAGTGTGCTTGCTTTTTTACAAAAAAAAAAAAATAAAAAAATTTAAAGTTACATTAAGATGACATCACAGTTTGCCAAATCAACCCTGCAAGTGTCAGAGTTACTAATTCAGTTTCAATTTGGCTCCCTTGTGTATTCTTTCCTTTATAATACACAATCTTTGTATCATCATGATTACAGGCCCTTTTCTGACAACCAGCTTGCCTCATCCAATGCAGATGATTGTCTCTAACAAGAAACACTCCTGTTTAATACAGAGTCATTAAAAAACCCCAAATGCCACCAAAACCAAGTCCTGAGGTACTTATTAGCTGTGTCCTTGTTTTCTGGGTGAAACTCTTGGTATCTAGGGTCCAGTTTGAAGGCATTCTAGTTCAACTACAGAAGTACAAAGTTACACTTCAACAGCAACACACGAGACTGTATTCAGGCCCCAAACTGATTACAGTCTCCATCTGAAACTGGAAAAAACAGAACTAATCTCTAGTTCTCACAGGCACAGTGAAAGTTAGAACAGCAGGTTTATCCTCGGTTCTTCTCTGCAGTAACTGCTTCGCAGAGCAACCATTCTCCATAGTCATTCACGACTCAAATATAAGGCCACAAACAGCAGAATTAAGGTAAAAAAAAATAGATTCCTAGAGCGTGAGCATCATTGGTCATGTGTTTGAATGGGACAGCGGCACTGGAAAACAGGGGGATAAGATAACGTGTTTATAAGCTCTTTTTGGTATTAACACAGAAATGGCAAATCCAAAGTTTTCCCAATACGAACACAGGCATTCAGAATTAGAAATACTAGCGTTTAATTTTTTTTTTAAATTTATAACTAACTTTCTATATTACAAAGCAATGTAAATTTTAACTGAAAGCACTTTTTTTGCAGTAAGGTTATAGCAACTCTACAAACCCCCCAACTTGCAGAACCTCCTCTTAAGACTACCGGACTTTAAGCCACGTGCCCCTGGAAGCAGCAGATAGCATGAATCAACTTGCATAATGGTTTCATTTGTGCAGCAAACATTGGTCCCAAAACATAATGTCATTTTTGATACAGCAATCCTCTTAACAGTCATGGCATCTGTTGTCTCCTTTTCCCGTTCTATCAGTAACAGGTCTAGTATTTTACATTATAAAGATTTTAAATCTGTAATATTTAGTGAAGTGCCTCCTTGCTATTTGCACACAACTGATATTAACTAGTATCTTGGAATTAAAATCTCTGTTTAACTTCTTGCAGTTGGTAAGTCTTCTATACATGCTGCAAATCACTTTTTCACAGGCATTTGTGGATCAGGTTAAATCTATAGCTATATGCTCAGTGTACTGGGTCCGGCTGGGATGGAGTTTGGTTTTCTCCCCAGCAGCCCGCACGATGCCGTGGTTCAGATTTGTGGCTGAAAGCACGCTGATAACGCATCGACGTTTTAGCTGTTGCCAAACAGCGCTTGCACAGCATCAAGCCCTTCTGTTCCTCACACTGCCCCACTCCAAGTGGCTGGGGTAGGAGAGATGCTGGGAGGGGACACGGCCAGGAAGGCTGACCCCAGCTGACCAGAGGGATATTCCGTACCACGCACCATCAAGCCCAGCAATCAAACTGGGGAGCTGTCCTTCCAAAATAGCTGTTGCTCAGAGACTTCCTGGGCATCAAGCTGCTGGTGGGAGGTGGTGAGCAACTGCCTTTGCACCACTTGTTTTGTTCTCCCCACTTCTATTTCCTCTGCTTAAGCTGCCTTTATCTCAACTGACAAGTTTTTCTTGGTTTTGCTCTTCTGATTCTCTCCCCTGTCCCACACTGGGGTTGGGGTGGGAGTGAGCAAGTAGCTGCCAGTGTTTAGGTTCTGGCCAGGATCAACCCATGACAGGCTTGTGGGTTTATGACAGGACAGTGTTAGAACAAGACTCAGTCGTGGTGATCTTCAGAATGAACTGCTGCATTTACAGGTTCTAGACAACTTTAGAAAGAAAGGACCAAAGCTTTGCAGTCAAAAGAAAAAGCTACTGTGGTATCCAAAGATGATACCAAAATCTTCTCTCTCTAGCAAAGAGCAACTCAAAATTGCCTTGAATCAGCAATCATTATATGGAAGCAAGAAAATAAGAAAGCTTCTACAAATTGCTTGACAGGGAATGACACTTCTACAAGACAGAAAAAGGAACCATTTTTAAATGTGTAAAAACACATTTCCATAACATTCGTAGAAGCAACATTTATTAAATTGAATGCGATTTAGAAGTTTTAAACTTTTCCACTGAGCGAGATTTAGTTTAAAGAGTGTGATTTTGGGGCCCATGTTTTGTTCTTGTTCATGGGTGTGAAGTTTTTTGTTTGGTTGTTTTTTAACATCTAGGGTTTTTTTTCCAGTAATTCATAGTCATTAGCTGCAAACCAAAGAAATTAGTTACTATTTTCTTGAACTGTAAGGCTACAGAAGAAGGTGGACACATCCTTCAGTGCCTCACCTGCTAAGCAACAAGGACAGCGTATTTGTTTTTTCCATTCTTCAGAGGGAAAAGAATTCAGAACAAAGAATAACCTTAAAGCTTCGTAACAGCCATCTAGATAATGGGCACATAACAACCACTTCCAAACTGGGTAACACATTTTAGTTGAATTTCAAACACAAAAATATAGGAACATTGTTTTTAAACAAAGCTTACCTTTAATTTCTTGTTTAGTTTACAGCAGTATCTGTATAACATTGCCAAATTTAAAGGTCCGAAATCTCCATAGAAACTAGGAGAAAGAGAACAAAAAAGGTGTTATTTATACAAAACAGCTAAGCAACATGCATATTGTTGATAAAGCTGCCAACCACTAAATCTGGGAGGATACCAAGTAGCCAGTATATATGGTGCAACAGATAAGCCCTTTACTGATTCACTTAGGAAGACAACAATAACAATTAATTTGAAAGCATTTGTAGCTTCAGTAACGACCTTTTCCATTATATATACACACACACACACACACACTAACTACAGGATTTTTTTCTTCACCCCATGATACCCAGACTGGTTTTGGCCAAAACTACAGAGCGAAGAACTTCAAGGCTTTAAGCCATGCTGATGGCTAGGTAAAGGTTCTAAAACTGCTTAAGATGAGAATTTATCATTAGATACTACGAAGAATAAGCTAAATAAATTTTACTACCCATAAGAAATTCTATTTAATAACATCCAGTCTTGAACTCTGTCTGAAATTTAAGGTTATTTCTTTTTATCCCATGCTCCACTAATTCCTCAGATTAGTATTACATATACACTGTACATATAATTATGTTTCCTTTTGTCCCCCCCAGTCCTCTTGTCTTTAGGCTGTTCTTCCAATGCATTATTTATTTCATGTCTTTTCATTGTTCTTGTTTCTCTCTTCTAGATTCTTCTTAAACATTCATATTACCTTTGAAGCAGCAATCACTGTCCTTAGGATAAGAGTTAGTAGGAGTAGTCCATAAAGGAAGATTATTGCACAATAAAAGTAAGTTCCTGGTAGGGATCCACAGTGCTCTTCCTAGCTAACCCTTCACCTTTACAAGTAATAGCAGCCTTTATGCAAGCAACTTACAACACCACCTTCTAGAGCTTTCTCCCTCCCCACCCATTGTGCAAAATTGCTGAAAATTTAAGTTGCAAGCTTTTTCCAGTATTTTTTTTTCTTTTTGTGCATGGAAGTCTTTATCCTGATGGCCTGAAATCTTATCTTGAAAATTTGTTGATGCACATGTTACAAATTACAGTGAGAATGGACTATAACTTCAAACTGTTTTAATCTGCTCTGCCTTAAGTCTTTTGATAGAAGCTACAGGACACTTCTTGCCTGTTGATGAACAAAACAGGCCATCAGCATCTGAATGCATGCTACTTGGGGAATGACAACAGAAAAAGGTAACTGTTCTACACCTTCTGGGCTTTGAAGGGGTGAAAACTTACTGAAATCACATGACAGAATAGGTGATAGTACCTTTCAAGTGTTCTTCCCCACAGCAGAAGGTTTATTTTTCAGGAAAATTACTCTCCAGTTAAACTTAAGACGAAAAGTTTTTACCATGAGGGCAGTCAAACATTGGGAAGAGGTTGCTCACTGAAGCTGCGGAGTCACAACCCAAGGCTGAGCAACCTGCTCTTGTTGACCTTGCTTTGAGCCCAGGGGCGGGATCAGACCCAGAGGGGCCTTCCAGCTTCAGCCATTCTGCTATTCTAAGTGGACACAACGACGAAGTAGGAGTGCTCTATCTTTTTGATGCTTCTAACTTTATTAGTACCCTCCTCCCCACATTCTCTCCAACAAGAGAGCCCAGCCCAGGGCAAAGAGTCAATGACATTCGTCTGATCACTGTCTAGGACGAGCACCCTGCCCACCACACCAAAGCTATTTCAATATCGTCTACTTTACAATATCAAATAACATCGTAAGTGCTTGTTAAGATTCAGTTCAACCCTCCAGTATAAAAAAATTATTACATAATGCTTAATTACAGAAACTCATTAGCTGGGTCAAAGACTAAGCTGTCCAACTCTTAGGTCTTTATTTGTAGGTTGCACAGAAGTTAACTAACGCAAGGGAAAGTTGCAGTGCAGGGTTTAACTTTAGAATTCCTCATCTTTTCTTAGATAAGTCCGCCAGATATGGTCAATAGTTACAATTATTTTTAAAACAAAACCCTCCATACAGTTTAATAGAGATGAAAAAAAAAAAATTATTCTAAGAAGGACAAGTAGGAGTTATGACAAATAAGAAGTCAAAAGCTGAGCTCTAAAAACACCAGAGGGAACAGAGCTTCTAGAAAAGCTATACAGGCGGCTTACTAACATCTCTTCCCATTCCAACACATTAACACCTCCTCTAAATCAGAAAACCCAACCCTACCTTGTTCCATTAACTTTAGAATATTCATTCACTTAAATAGATGGAAAAGTAGAATTTCGTATTTAAGATTATTTTGTGAAAAATACTTTTAAAAGTATTGTGAAAAAGCGTGAAAGATGATAGTTACTAGAATACTTTTTTAAACCAGTGTGAGCAAAGTAGCTTTGATCAGCTCAAAGATACAACTGAACACACAGTTCATCTAAAGCACCGAAGAACTACAGCCATGCTTTACGATAAGTTTTTATTACTATTCAATTCCTAGAAGTACATCAATATGAAATCATATATCCAATTCTACTTTTCCACATGATTAAACTCAAACAGAAGTGTAGAAAAAACACATTAAAGTTTATTTAAAAATCAGTTTATCTACAATAGACAAATTACTGTTTGGGGGGGGGGACATGAGGATAAAATACATTTATTGAGTCTAGCCATGAAGTAATTATAATTCTACAAAATAAAGCAATTCAGATTCTCTCAGTTGCCAAGTTAAAGGTGTCACAATCTTCGACTGACTATTTCTCCATCACTTACTACCATTAAGTATGCTGTGCTTATCTTATCATGGGGGGGGGAATTATCAGTGTTTAAGACTCTGGTACTACCACTGTTTGTCTATGCTGCAGAAACAAGATATTTCTCAGAATGCCAACACAATCATAAAGGAAAGGCACGTCTGGTCAGCGTTGCACCAGCACTGTTACCCATACACCAAACACTGGCAATTCCCAAGTTATTTACCCAACACCATGCAGGCAGCATAAACCAGCCATTGGCTTCCTTGAAAAAAACACTGTGGTAGATACGCCAGGGAGAAAGGTTACATGTTACATGCATAATTTTAACTTTCTCCACTTAATACCTCTAAATTGCAATAAGCTTGAATGTCCCTTTTTAACGGGGCCAAGCGAAACAAGTGCTTTACAAACCTCCAAATCAAAGAGTTCTCTGAAAGATAATACAAGGCTCTGTACTGAAGTCAGTGAACTCTGATCTGCAAAACCCTTCTTCAATTTATATCCTCAGATCTAAATACAGTTTCTGACATGTTTAAACAGACGGGTTTAATCTTATGCACCCTCATTACTTTTAGTGTAACAGGCCATTTTTGTACTTGAATTAGAGACACTTGATCCTGACTCACCCAGAGGATTTTCTTCTTAAGAACAGAATTCTGACATAGAGTTACATGTAAGTGGAAGATGGGAAATGGAGGCTACAGGAAATGAGGAAGAAATGACACACCAAGTCATCATCTTTATAAGAATTTTATCTGGCAAAAGTTGAAGATAAAGCACATTAAAAAAAAAATCAAATCTTATTACATGATAGTCACTGATAACAACCTACCCAGTGTTATTTCACTTCCATCTCTTTTACAGATAATAGACTTCCTTTGTATCTAGATGTTTTAATGAGCATTTATACACAATAAGAAATCAGGATGCCTCTGAAGCCTAAGCCAGTTAAGAGAGACAGTCATTTACAATGGAGGTGGGAACCAAGTATGAGGAACAGAAGGCAAGTATGGTATTAATCTACATTTAATTATATTTTGTTTTAATCAAGTACTTAGATGATAGCTTAAATTATTCTTCCCCCTCATCCCATGGAAACTTGCTATCCTTATGCTTCTCAAGCTAAGCAGCAGCAGAACCCCAGAACATACTAGATGAATATTTAAATACTCTACTTCAAAAATACTATCATAATGCTACCTGGAAGGAGTAGCACAGGTTTCTTGTACCTGTATTCTCCTTGGA